TATTCTGTGCTATCTTCTTTTTTTTTTACAACTTTTGTACTCACTGGTCACATTTACACATGTGCTTTACTGAAGAGTTGCCTAATTAGCTCTGCAGTTAAGCGTCACTATCTACATGAGCACCCACATTAGGGTGCAGTAGATTAATTAACTCTGCTGTAAGATAGTGCTGTTGGGGACAGTACTATCTTATGGCAGAGTTTACCTGTGGTAAAATGAACATGTAAACACTGACCCAGGAGTATATTGCACCTGGTAAACCCAGGCAGGAGAGGGCCAGACTGCTGCCTGTCACCTAGCCACAAGGCTCCACATGCTGGGGCATTCTTGTGACCCAGCCAGTGCCTTCACTGCTTAACACAGCCTTCTGGAGCCTGGGGATGACCCCCCATCCCCCTGCCAGCCCAGGGCTGCTCCACTCTAGCTCAACATGCTGTGATCCCAGGCACATGTGACATTGCTGCACCTGGGAGCAGCTGACTCTGGTGTGAACTGCACTGGAATTTATCACATTGCCTTAATGACGCATGTAGATGCTCCCACTCAGTCAGAAATACAACTGATATTGAAGGAGACAGCTCAGGTCCTCAAGGGAAATCAATGGGAGTTCAGCACCTAATTACTTCTGAGGATCTGGGCCAATATGATTAGAGGTTGTTCTTCAGTGAATATTTTTGCTTTCGTCACCAGCAATTAGATCTGCCCTTCTGCATTCATATTGTTCATGCTACTAGCTTCAGTAAATATAATTTGCAGTACCTGGCACAGAAAGCTGTAACAGGCCCTAGCAATTTTTTATTTAACATAAAGACTAGGGTTTTTCAAACATATGTCATCCCTACAAGAAAGTGCCAATGACTCCACACAGCAGCAACATCTATAGGCCAAATCATGAAAATGCTAAGGACTCTACATGTTTAGTCCCTTTGGTTCCTGGTGGGACTACTGAGGTGTAAAGAGTTACACAACATATGAAGCTGTTAATGTGACCAATGCCTTAACCATTAACACTATTCACAATCTTCCTAAAGAAGAAAGAAATCAATCAGAAACTCTGAGCATATAAAATCCTGTAAAACTCTGGTTGAAGAATCTTTCCTGGTACTGAAAGACCAATTGTAGAGAGGTACAGATGGCACATAACATTAAAAAGTTGGCAGAGCAGCTTTTAAACTAAAAATGGAGACAAAGCCAACAGGTGTGGAACAATGCACAGTTTGGATTGATACACTCTATAAGGGTGAAACCATGAAAAAAGGGGGATAAGGGAACAGAGTGAAGACAAGAACAAGTAAATAACTTAATGAGTAGAAGGTCACAGAGAAATAGCCCACTAGGCAACCATAAAAAGTACACATGCTTTTATACTAATGTTAGAATATAAGATTAAAACCAGGAGAACTTGAATGCTTATCAGTAAATAATGATTTTGACATAGTAGGTATCTCTGAAACATGGTGGAATGAGGAAAATCGGTGGAATGCTCTAACACTAGGATACAAATTATACAAGAATGGTAGAGTAGGTCATACTGGTGGGGGAGTGGTACTCTACATCAAAGACTACATTGAATCAAATAGGGTAGATTTTTCAATTGATAAGAGAGGTACCATAAAATCTATGCATGATTAGGGGGCATGCAGGGAGCTTGGTCTGATGCACTGGAAATCCAGCAAGTAAACTCATGTGCTCGGGCAGCCTCACGCGTCACATGTATCAGCAGTACAGCACGTCTCTGCCCTAAGAAAATGGCAATGGTGCGCTTTGAAATAAAACACGTTTAATGTGCTTTAGTTCGAAGCACCCCACTGCCATTTTCTCAGTGTAGGGACAGGCTGCACCGCTAATGCACGTGATGAGTGGGCGTTTTTAATTAGTGTGGTTTGCTAATTAAAAGTACTCAGTGCTGCGTTGGGAGCACATGTAAAAATGCCCTTTGTGGGTAGAAATCCTGGGTCTCAATAGAAAAATGTACATCTAGGGATATACTATCGACCTCCAGACCAGGGTGGCAGCAGTGAGCTAGAAATTCTAATGGAGTTGAGAAAAGCTGCGACAGCAGAAAACACAGTAATAAAGGGGGACTTCAACTCTTTACAAATAGAATGGGTCAATCTAGTATCAGGCCAGGATGCAGAAACCAAATGTCATGATCTTGGGTTCCCCTTGCTAATCTTTGATCCTATGGCTGGGATCCCTGGGAGCTGAGCAGGTCAGCACTATGCACCCCTGCAGCTGGGAGTTCTGATCAGCTGATAGGGCTCCCATCTATGGGGGTGCAGGGTGTACCCTGACAGCTAGGAGTTCTGATCACTGATAGGGCTCCCAGCCAGCCATCAGTGTTCAGAGCTCCCAGCCACAGGGGACAGCAAGCTGGGAACTCTGTGGCTGGGTTCCTGTGGCTGGGAACTCTGTCAGTTGATTGGGGCTCCCAGCCGGGCAGCTCACTAAGCTCTCCCAGTTGGGACCCCTGATCAGCTGATCAGTGCTCCCACCCTCTGGCAGACAACGTTCTTTGGGTAAATCCTTTATTAGACCAACTCAAATGATTGGAAAAATTGTTCTTAGCAAGATTTCAGGCACAAATGCCCCTTCGTCAGGCTGAGGAAGTGTCTGTAGATGGTCTGTGCCAGTATGTATGCAAGAAAGCCAGTCAGTTAAAATGTAAATTAAGGTGATCAGTAGGTAAAAGACAGGTGGAGGGGAAGGAAAGGGGAATGAATGTAGCTGTAGTCAAAGGATGGGAGACAGGTGGGTATGGGGGAAGGGAATGAGAATAGCTGGTGAGAAGTGGAGGGTTTACCTGGGGAGTCAGATGTCAGACAGGTTATAATGTGTCATAAATTCAATGTCTATATTTATTCCATGATTTTTTGTATCCAGTAGGTTGATGAAGTGAAGTTCATGGGCCTGTCTGTGGAAGGTATTTTGTAAATTTCCTTTGAGGATTACAACTGAGACTGGAGACAGAGTGCTTTTCTTGTGAAAAATGAGCCCCCACAGGTAACTGGGTATTTTTGTCTTTGATAGATTTTCGGTGTGCATTCATTCTGGTGCACAGTTGTTGCTTGGTTTCTCCCACCCTCTGGAGCAGACTGGTCACATATTCAGTTAAAGGTGTGATAGGAACCAGGGACAAAGTTCTTACATATATTCTGTGTAATAACTTTGTCACTTATTTTTGGTTTTATCATGCCATAAATTGAATGAATGAGCGCCGTTACTTAAGATGCGATTATCAGTTAATAACATATTGAGTGTAATGTGTCTCAGGGGCCCGAAAGATTAAAGCATGTTTGTATTATAAGAAAATAGGGCCAGAGGAGATTGAGAGAGCAATGAGAAGTAAGAGAGATGGGACAAGAGCAAATGTTGGTGAAATCATGAGATGGGATAGAAGTCCTTGGGGCAGTTGGAGGGATTAGAGAAGAAGAGAAGACAAGAAACCTCTGTGCCTGTGATAGGGGAGATTTGGGTAGAATTGCATGAGTGGGAGTAGGAAGGGAAGGAAAACTAAGGGGAAAAGGAAGTAACAGTGTATTTTATCATCTTCCTCTGCAAGGAACTGATGAGATTCTGTGGAAAAATGAAAGTGATGAAGAGCAAATCAAAGGTGGCAAAAATGCTGTGGGGCTGTGGGTATGGATCTAGTCAAATTGGAGAAGCAGAGTTGCTTAGTAAGGAAGAAAAGAGAACTGAAGGAGGAGAGAACAATTCTGCAGTGAAAGAAATGAGTCTGGTGTTAAGATTTTTGCCAGTGATTCTCTGCAGTATGAGAGCAGGAGCTGAGGGAGCAGCTCTTGGGGGTGAGCCAGTCTGGAATGGTGAGAGTAGGGTGACAGAGTCCAGGGTGGTAGGGGGGAAGCATGCAGAGAATCAACAACCATATGACGGAAGAGAGGGCAGGGAAGAAAGGCCTGAGAGTAGCCGAGAAATCATCAGTGTTGATAGACTGGAAGTCATGGAAAGGCCACGGGTACTTATGGATGAGGCTGAAAGAGACATAGTGATAACTAGAGTGGGAACCTCAGCAACACAGAAGTCAGAGGGGGAGCAGTGGCTAGTGAAGACCAAGTCAAGTAATTATCTCTTTGATGAGTGGGACTGCTGAACCAGAGCTGCTGGCTGAATGAAGGGGTGAGGGCAGTGAAATGTGCAGAAAGGGGGTGATGTGGATTATTGATGAGGATGTTGGGAACACTGGATCCATGTGGAAGATTGTGGAGTGGAAAAAAGCAAGTCAGAGCCGGCCTTAGGGGTTGGTGATGTGGGTGACTGCCCAGGGTGCTGTGGTCGGGGGGTGCCACACACATGCATGCACACATGCACACACAGCAATGCTCTCTCTCTTCCCTGGAGGTAGGAGCAGTGATGCCTAGCCTAGTGCCCCCACCTCCTGCCACTGCTCAGGAGGAGCCAGGTAGGGCAGTGTAGGAGGCTTTGCCTCCCCATTGGGCTGAGCCCCATGTTCCTGTTCACCTGCCTCTGCTGCAGCAGCGCGGCTGAGTTGGGGGCGAGGAGGCACAGGGGTAGGGTGCTGGGGGGCTGCCAGGGCAGGGCATTAGGGGACACCAAAATACAAGTTTGCCCAGAGTGCCATTTCCCCTAAGGCCACCTCTGGAGAGAGTCAAGAATCAAAATCAGTGAGGGAGAATGAATGTGCTTACCTCCTGTTGGCGAGCCTTCTTTATTTAGAGAACACTGAGTTCTTTTTCTCCAGTAACTTTGAGTCCTTTTTAACACTATAATTATACCTGTTTGCACTCATTTAGCTTTATAAGCCTCAGAGGAAGATCATAAGCACCCCCTCCATGCAATCCTGCATTTTTTTCTTGCTGTTAATTTAATGCTTATGAAGAGCCCATTAATTTGTATTGATCCTTTTTTCTTTCCTTACAAGCTTCAACCAAATTAGTATATAGAACAGATGGGAGCCTTCAACTCATTATAGGAAGCTAGTTTAATACTGACCCTGCCAATCTGTTCTATTTCTACCTCAGAGACAGAAGATATTCCACAGAGAGTTTATCTATATGCATCGGCTGTTGTGCACGTATCTAGATGACAAGAAGTTCTGAAGTTAGTGAGGCAGAACAAAGGGAAATGAAAACGTTATAATATGGATGAACAGAGGACCTTTTGGCATGCTACCAAGCGGCAAGCATAACTAGACTGAATTTATAACCCTGCTACAGTTATGCAAGAAAAAAACCTGACAACATACGTACACAGCTCAATATTCCTAGGAGTTCGACCTGTTTGTGTTAAAAAAATTAAGAAGGCTGATGCATAAACCACCTCTTCTAAATTTAATCAGTCTGGGACAATTAAAGTAATTTTATGTTTTTTACTTCAGCACTCCTCTGAAACTAGAGCATCTGGATAACTTTAATTACTGATTTGGCTCAGTAAAACAGAAAAGAAAAATCTATATGTGTATGATTAGCAACTTCCTTTTTTTCATTGGGATTTCCTTCTTTGCCTCTCTTTAATAGCCATTCTTTTGGCTTCCTGGCAGTTTCCTATATTGGTTAATATAATAAAAAGGCTTAATTGGAATAAAGATCACTAAATGAGGTACAAATGAAACTTGAAAGAGTAGGATGTGCAAAATATATTGTGTTCATTTGTTAAATAAAATAATTTTCTGTTACTCCCAACAGCTCTGTTGATAATAATTAGCGAAAATGTGTAACAGCAAGATTTATGCAGAAGAAATTTGAATCTGAAAAGAGACATCTCTTGAAAGGAAAGAAAATGAGGGATGGTGATAGCATAAACTAAGGTTGCTCAACCTTTACGTTCCTTCTTTTTTTCTTTCTTTCTTCCTTTCTGTGCATCTCTGGGTGATTTGGGTCCAGCACACCTGTGTCCTTGCCACTCGGCTTGACATGGTGTGGCAGAAGCATGTAGCAGCACTGGCGCTCATGGCAGCCTACCTTATGTGGTGCACAATTTATAAGCCCCACATCTCCAAAAAGACCAGTGACCTCCGGTTGCTACATGGGATACTGGCCACCAGCACTCTCGTCCGCCATGTGGACCCAGCTGCGTCAGCAGCCTGTCCCTTTTGTCTGGGGGAAGTGGAGGAGGACCTTAACCATTCCTTCCTCAGATGCCTTCCTGGCTGTCACAGCTGTTTGCTGCCCTCAGCTCTTTGCTTGAGGTGCTAGGTTTGGCCTTCCTGGGGACAACTTACTTGTACTCCCTCCCCTACCAGGCAGCCAATGCGGGTATCAGCTGCCTGGCCAACTTCTTACTTTGCCAGGCTAAGATAGCTATCCTCAAGAGCTGCAGGAACTGGCTTGCCCGGGGCTAGCTCAGACGATGCCCTGCAGCTCTTCCAGTTTTTAGTGTGGGCATGCCTGTTGCTGGAGTTTGAGCACTCTGTCCTCCAGCAGACAGTGCCCACCTTCCAGGCATGTTGGGCAATTCAGGGGGTGCTCTGCAGTGTCGAGGGTGGCCATTTAGTCCTTGCACTGTGATACTGCTAGCCCCCTTCCTGGGGTACCAGCAGGGGTCTCAGCAGCCCGATGTTAAACTGGATATTTTTGTTTTTGGACTGTGAGTGCAGGGCTTGCAAGCCAAAGCCCTAGGCTCTGTGTGTTGTACCTGGGCCCGTGCGTGGGTAGTGTTTTATTACTTTGTTGGGTTGTTACCCCTTCTTCCCCTTAATAAACCTTCATAAAAGTAACAAAAGAAGTCTGTTTCTTTCTTTCTCTCTTAAATGGAAGTTGGCAACACCTTAAAATCAGAAGTTGGCCAAAGGCTGCATGCAGCTGGTCAGTACAAGCTTCTTCTGGGTTTACTGCTTTTGCAGGACTATGGAGCTCAGGAGATGAATGCCACCCCCATTTCCCTCCCTACATTTTCCCCTGCCAATGAATCCAGCCAAGGGGGTGAGACAAGGGGTCCAAATAGTGGTGGGGTTCACTCCCTGGGCTCAAAAGCCCTGCAAAAGCAGTGGCTCTGGCACGAATCTGCCCAACCAGATGGTGAGCTGAAAGAGCTCAATGCACAGGCAGAGTTCTGGTGGGAGTCCATGCTGGCCAGCAGAGGAGACATGACAGGGAAATGGTGCTAGGGGATTGACCACTTGCATAGGTTTCATGGGCTGCATCTGGCCACCAGGCTGCAAGTTGAGCACCATGGGTAAAACTGTTAGAACTAAGTGTAATTTATAAATGATTTCAAATCACAAGCTCTGAACCTGAAAACACTGAAAGCATGACTTTATTCATGTGAATAGTCCCATAATGATAGCTACTCATATGAGTAAAATTAAACATATACTTGATAGGTTGCAGGGTCACATCCCAAAAGTTAATTATGAAATTGCAACAAGACATATAAACAGCTGTAGTAATTAATGCATATTTCTAATACTTATTTTTTTAAAAGGACAGCTAGCATCTCATACAACATAGAAAGTCTAATTTAATTGCACACTGGACAATAACTTATTATCTATCTTCCCTTGCCTTTCATTTGCATGAAGACAGGGAACTTTGTTTCTTAAAATGTTCTCCTCATGCCAGTTCTATAATGATATTGTCATTTTTGTAGCAACAAATTGACATGTCAGTTGGAAGATTATTTTATCAAAGAAAAGCAATTAATTCACTTCAAGTAACTAATTATCGCCCCTCACCCCATGTCACCAGAAATGCATTCTTTTTATTTCCATGCACCCAAAAACTTCCTTATTATAAAGTATTCATGTTGTTTCATTAGAAATAATCATTCAAAGAAGAAAAACAAATCCACATCTGGCACAAAAGATTACAATTTCAGGTGAGCAATAAACAGCAGGGTCAAACAAGATCCTATTTCCATAAACTGGGGAAAATAATATAGGAGATAGATGAAAATATTTTTTTAAACAAAATATTTATTACAAATAAATAAATAAACAAGAAAGGAAAAGGGAAAGAAAAAGAAAAGAAAGAAAGAAAAATCTGTAAGACATTGGTGTCAGAGTCATAAATTTTTTAATACAAAGCTATAACAGAACACAGGCATTTTAAATATAGATTATTTTAGCTATGAATTGAAGTCGTACCTTTATTTTAGATATTGGTTTTCATTATATGATATGAATAAACAAGAAGACAAACACTTAAGCAGTAATGATTTTAAGCAAGGAGAGCCTTTTTTCAGTTGATCAGATCCATTTTCCATATTAATGGTTTTGCAGAAAGAAAAACATTCAAAGGATAAAATGACTGCAAACAGCCTGGTTTTAATTTTTCCTTCTGGCAGTAAGTGAAGACTGAATAAAATGTAATATTGGCAATGTATATTGATTACACCATTACGGCTTCCCGCTGTTATGTTTTTCAAAGAAAGAATGTAATTAACAGTGAAAATAATTACAGATTTAAAAAAACAAAAACAAAACCCAAACCCCACAGTCGATCCAGATGTTCCACAACACATACTTCATGTAACAGGACTAAGTGAATAACCCTTGAGTCTGGGTCCTAGTCCCCCAGCTGAAGTAAACTGGATCTATACTGGCACAGGGATCCATGGGACCTCATCTCTTGGTTGCACTGCCTCTCTCTGGCCATACTCCTTATGCATGAGTATAATGGTTGAAAAGAAAAAAATCCACAAAGCTAACATGCCTCCTCATTGATAAATAATATTTTTATCTTTCTATTCCACAATTTTTTGTCAAATGTGCTGTGGTCTGTTTTTAATCATTAGATATGGGTACGAACCTAACTTCCAAATGCTCCTAAAATTTTGGACGATCAAAATTAGATCCTCATCTGAAGTTTGTATCTGAAGCAAATCAATGTTAACTTTACAACTCTCTAAGGAACTTACATAGCTGCCATTACCATTACATCTGAGCTCCTCACATCTACAAATTATTGATCTTAACAGCAAGAACAGCAAGAATTGAAGTTGTACCTTTATTTTAGATATTGGTTTTCATTATATGATATGAATAAGCAAGAAGACAAACACTTAAGCAGTAATGATTTTAAGCAAGGAGAGCCTTTTTTTCAGTTGATCGGATCCATTTTCCATATTAATGGTTTTGCAGAAAGAAAAACATTCAAAGGATAAGATGAGGTAAGTAGGGAAGTGTTGTTATCCTTGTTTTACAGCTGTGGACGTGAGCTACAAAGAGACTAAGGACTGGAGGTAATAAAAAGGCAACCAAAAGTTAGATGGTACAGCCCAGCTCTCTAGCTCTTCTGTTGAAAGTGTATCACAGTGCAGCAAAGAATTCAGGATTCAGGAAGCCAAAAATAAAGCACAAGGGGAAACTTTGCTTTGCAGCCTATTACCATGTTTTCTCATATACAACATGCCCCCTGAATAAGATGCACATCCTGTTTTCTAAAGGCGGAATGAAAAAAAATGTTCTTTCCTTGAAAATATTGGTAAATACAGTATTTTCCCAGGGAAAACACAAGCAGCTGAATCTGGAGGAGGGAGAGAAGGCAAAATATTTTCTGTGAAACCTCGCTGCAGGATGCTGTGGGTGCTGCTGCCTGAGTCAAACTGCCTGAACCCTCTTCTCTTGTAGAGCCAAGCTGTGTGGGCAGTCAGCAGCACCTGGAGATTCAGCTGAAGGGTCCAGCTCTGATTTAGGAATAAAGGCTAGGTACAAACATTAAAAGAGCCTGAGGCAGAATTGATTTAAGTTATCTGGTTTTCTGTAAGCAGCATAGTTTAGATCAGTAGCAAACAGAACATATTCGCCCTTTGGTAGGGGGACCAAATCTTAGAACAGGTTCTGCCATTTTTAAACCAGTCTGTGTGCTGAGCTTCTGTTCTGTTACAGTGTTTTGATCACTTGTACAGGTAAAAGTATAATGTGTGCACCTAGACAAAGTGGAGCCAAGCCCTGGGACTTCTGCTGAGTCTGCAGATCACATCTGTTGAGGGAAAGAGAAAGAGTCATCTAAGGAGCCCCCTGTGTAGCACATGCAGCTTTAATTTCTCTTTTTCACTTGGCACAGGGTCCTGTAGCACAAACGGCTATTACTTAATGTGTAGCACCCAAATTTCCAGCAGCTGATTTTGGGAAAAAGCTGTGTATTGTACAAGAGAAAATATAGTAATCCAGGCATTCAGGTGGGAAGGGGAACTCTTTGGGCATTATACGTGTGCTCCGGCAATGTGGGGGGTGCACTTTAATCAGAATGGCTCATCAAATGAGCTTTAGGTAAAGCACTCCTGCTGCCATTTTAAAGCACAGGGACACCAATACATGAGATGCTGGAGGCTGCTGGAGTATGATAATGACCATACTCCAGCAGACTTGATTAATTGAGTCTGCTCTGACGTGCTGTAATATAGCGTGTTGGAGCAGCCTTTCTTCTCATGTACAGGCACCCCTAAGTTCTGGTCCCTGGCTCCAAAGGACCATTTATGCATTTTATGCATTTGATTGTTTTCAGTGCAGCCTCTCAGGCAGGTGCCCTAAATACAGAGCCATGTATCTTTCTGAGATCCCTCTGTCTGGCCCCTTAATTGTGAAATACTTTGATGCACAGAATCAGGCCTGCAACTCTGGTGTAAGCAGCACAGCTACCTACCCCAACCAGCCACTTTTCTCCTTAAAACATCAGTCACTACCTGAATCTCCTCGTTCCCTGATCCCTGGCTCCTGTCATCTGATCTTCTACTTCCCCTATATAAGACCAAGGAGAGAAATGGGAAATGTCTGGGTAATAGAGTGTTTTCTGATCCTAGACCACACTCTGATAAACTCTGTTCACCCCTTGATTTCCTGAGTTGGCTCACTTGTGAACTCTGCTCTTATCTTGACCCCTTGGCTTCCTGACCCAGCTTGTGCCTGGACTATGTTTGCTCTTTCCAACTCTGACTTTTACCCTGATCCAGCAATCTTGAACCCAATCTGGCCTCCATCAGTCCTGGTACTGATGACAAGGCATAGCTTTAAAAGAAAAGAGCATGAGATCTCTTCCTAAAAAGAGCCTATAACAGCCTGGTGGTTGTTACTACTAGGATTCATTTTGCCAAAGCCCTCCAAGGATTTACAGTAAAAAGATGGAATACTCTTCTGGGCAGGAATTTCTTATGTGGTGAAGTATCTCTGGGCTCTGTGATAACGCAAATTACCTTGAACAAAGACAGGAGCAGGGTCACAGGTTTCAGGTGTTAAATCTTGCTTCCTCCTTGCA